AGAAACGAGACAAAACAGAAGTTGCAAAGACACCCCGAGGACTTCGCGCAAGCATTTGCAAAATACTCCAAACACAGGCCAGGAGAACTGACGTGAAAACTGGAGAAGAAACCAATGAAGCCAACCATATAACTGCTGTAAAGCGAACAATAGCTACTCACAGGTCTCGACTGTCGCAGACCAATTACGCCTAACCAGTGCCATCCTGTCCACACTGTCGGTGGACAGTTCGCGCATGTATAGATCTTGTTGAACACCTTCGGACTCAATACGATATCAGCACGACAATTCCGTCCCCACCTTGAAGAACGCCTACACCGTCACCACCAGCAATGCAGGCTCACTCCCAATTGATTACCATTGCAATCTTATCGCATCTTCACATCACCGCTGGTCCAGTCAGTCACTTGCGAATCAATTAGACTAGGACTGGCGAACCAGTACCTGCAGCCTCTACATAGCCCCGACAAGCGCCTCACATGACCACAATGTCCCAGGACATTTATACATTTTGGCCGCATACCTATCCATGACAGCGGAAGTCATAGTAATGTCAGCACAAAAATCTTCCGTATAAACCTAGACTATCCTCTAACACCAACGCTACCATAACCCAGGTGCCCACCACCAACCCAGTAAACCCCATCCCATCCTGTCCTAATTGTCACGGCACATGTGCATAACGCATCGGCCTCGTTGGCCACTTACGAATCCATCAAACCGAGACCAGTTAATAAATCTGTCAGAACACTCGTTATACCGAAGTGCGTTCTGGATCTTCCCAAGTTCCTCTTCGGAGCTATTTGTCGAACAAATGTTTGAACCGTCTCGTGTCAAGAGCTTCATATTGGTCGACTTCTTTTATTACTTATATGTTTTGCACGGCCTCGTAACCATATAAATGCACCGTTAGGGTGAGAATTTATTGAAGAAAAATTAATCCTCGCGAAGTAGTTACCTGAATCCTTGTTCGTATGCTTCATATGCTTATATAAATGTTCATATGCTCATTGGGGAAACAATTGGTTAAATGTGGACAGGTCGGAA